TAAACAACCATTGCTTAAAAATGGACATCACACATAATTTAGATGGTGGAGTTTTGAAAGATATATTAATACATGGCAAAGGAACGGATAAGCCACATAAAGGGTGTAAGGCTTGGGTTMATTACACTGGAACACTTTCTGATGGTACTGTTTTTGACAAAACTAATGATGAACCATTTAAGTTTACAATAGGAAAAGGTAGGTATAATTTGGCTTAAATTTTATGCATATATAAAAATTTTGTTTTGTTTTTTTATCATTTTAGATATGACTATAAGAGGTTTTGACTTGGCTGTATCTTCAATGACTTGTGATGAAAGATCAAGATTTCAATGTCATCCAAATTATGGTTATGGATTGGATGGTTTTGAACAAATCATCCCACCTAACACTTGGCTTACATTTGAAATACACTTACTGAAATGGACATGGGAAGATATCAGTCGCCGGAAAGATAAAAGTATTACAAGACAAATATTAGAATATGGAGTGGACAATGCTACTCCTAGCAATGTTTCGTTAGTTAATATTCATTTGGAAAAAGAAAAAAATGGTAATGTTATTGAAGAAAGAGATGTAGAGTTTAGATTAGGAGAAGGCAAAGACTTTGATGTTTGTCCTGGTATTGAGTTAGCATTAACTAAATTTAAAACAAAAGAGAAATCAAGATTGTTTATTCATGGAAAACATACTTTTTTGGAGTATGGAGAAGATGAGTTTAATGAAGTGTATGTCATCAAACTTAACTTCTTTGAAAAGGTAATTAATAATTAATAATTAATAGATTAAATAATTATATTGTATTTTAGTTTTTATTAGCAATTTATTTAGAGTTATAAATTTAATAGAATATTCTTCATGTGTTTGTCTATTTTTATCAAATAAAAAATGTCCTAAACGTAAAGTCAAATTAAATTTTCATGAGCATTTGAATTACAACATTAGATATTTACTCAATTTCTCTTGTATAGATATTCTTATTTTGTTGCTATTCAAAAATCAATTACTATAGAAACTTGAAATTTACACCAAATGTTCATTTTATCAATTCCTATACTTGATAACATTTTCAAAATATTTCAACCATTAATAAGTTATTTATAAACATTTGAAGTTTTAGTTTTTTGTTCTATAAATGTCAATAACATTTTATCTGTTGGGTCAAAAACTTTAAAATGTATAACAAGTTCCCCATAAGTTTATATATTAGCAGTTGGAAAACATTAAAAATCAATAGACAATTTTTTTTTTTATAACCATTTAAAGTTCAAATTTTTATAAAATTTATTTAATTGAAAATTTACAAATTCTTCAGTTGAAAAAATGTATATAACATTTAAATTTTAYAGTTAAGAATTAAAAATTTAAAACAAGGCTCCACATAACTACATAATTTTTTTGCAAAAAAAAATCTAAAAACTATTCAGCTTTTTTTATAGTTATTTTAACTTCAAATTTGGATGTAATTACCTATTAAATAATCAAGTATAACAATTTTAGTTATAGTTGTAATTTCAATTTAAAAATATTATTCGTGGGTACTTAAATGTCTAGAGTATACTTTATATTCTAATATTAATAGCTAATGTTGTTAATTACTATGTTAATACTTTTTAATAAATTGGATATACCTATTATGAATGACTGAGCTAGTTGGGTTGTTGGGTACATAATGAATATGATTTGATTAATTTGGAATTTATTTTATAGTTAGGTATCTAATTTTTTTTTTTTTTTTTTAAATTATAACAATATAATAAATTAATATAGCATAACATATCATAGACTGATCAACCGCCTCTACTCAGAATCGTTTTTCTCATACAATGATACTATATCATTGAATTCAAATTTAATACTATTCATTACAGTAACCCACTTGTAAACTACTGTGCTACAGATCTATTTACTTCCCTGCTTTTTTTTTTATTTAAAAGAAGAGAACATTTTTTATGTTTTAGATCAAAGTTTGATTTTCAAAATTATAATCATAGAATTTAAAATATGCATTTGAATAATTCATTATATTTGTTATTTTTTAAACATCTTATTTTTTGCACTATTTGAAGAAAGATGGAAATTCGRACTTTGATCTGACCTAAAAAAAGTTCTCTTCCATATTCAGATAAAAAAATTATTAAAATCTGATATTAACAAGGTGTGAGAGTTTTYCAGTTAAGTCATTTTTGATGATAATATAATATACCATATCAACTCCCCTCTTCCTAAATAGGTATTGGGCAGTAGATTAATGAAAAAGTATTAAATTAAGGTTACAATTAAAATATAWAATATCATTTAAACATTTTATAGGATTGTAAAAAATGGTAAAAACTGGCACTGACACCCTTAATTAATATAACATGAAACAATAAAAATAACATGGGGTAGATTCAACACCCAAACCCTTCTTGGCTTGGCCATTATATTATTTGTATAATGTTTATAATACCTATTACAAATGATTAATAATGAAACATATGTTATAGTTTGAAGAAAGTTGGTCCTTGACGAGTGAAGATCGTATAAAACAAGCAACATTTTTCAAACAAAAAGGAACAGATTACTTTAAAATTAATAATTATAAACTAGCACTTAAATTCTATAAGAAAGTGGTAGACTATTTAAAAGGGGATATCTCAAGTATGTATTTATTTGTATTTTTTATAGTATAATGTTTTATTTTTTATGATAAATTATAGTTATACCTATATTTTTGATTTCAGACAATGAAAGTCAAAAGAAAGAAATCAAATTTCTTTCAGTTACATCCTATTTGAATTCTGCTTTATGTAATTTAAAATCACATAGACATACTCAAGCAAAAAATGACTGTGAGAATGCATTAAATCTTGAACCAACAAATGTCAAAGCAATGTTTAGAAAGGGAGAGGTATGTATTCATTTTKAGAGGCATTTTTATTTATACACTAAACTTAGTTTCTAGCCCGGTGTAGRCCTATCCGCCCATGAGAATAATTATAAAATTTAATCAAGGTGTTAGGTGGAGATGCTTAGATTTTGGTCGAGTCGCTCTTGCTGAACAGGATATACTTTATAAAAAAATTTTTTTTTTTGCATTAATAATTTTTATTATTAAAAAAAAGTACACGGTTACATTTTAAAATTAAAATTCCAGTTCCTAGAATTTGGGTTTGACGTTTAACTAATARTAAAATGTATGCATTAATACTATTTGTTTAATAAAATTATTTATTTATCTATTATTGAATAAAATCTCTGTAACGTATTCAAAATCTTTAGAATTCTTTGATTATTTTAATTTTATATTTTAAAAGGCTTTACTAGGTTTACATGAACTACTAGCTGCAAAACAAAGTTTTGAAGCTGTCTTACAACAAGAACCATTAAATCGTGCAGCTATGGCAAAAATAATTGAATGTGATAAACAACTGAAATCACAAAAAAAAATTGAAAAATCTGTTTATTCAAATATGTTTGAGAAATTTGCTAAGAGAGATAGTAAGTTAATTTTGTGTTTTAAACTTTTTCAAAATGGGTTTAATAATTATTTTATTTTAGCTGAAAAAGAAGAAGAATTTCTAAGTCAACAACCTGATGTTATGAACACACTTGGAGAATGGGGAGATGATGAACGGGAACGAGCTCCTACAGAATTCGAGAAAGAAAATCCTAATATTTTAATGTTAAATACAACAGGCTATTTCAAAAATATGTAAAATTTTAATTCTATGATAAATATTTTATTTTTAATGTCAATATTAAATGGATAAGACACGAACATAGATATAAGACAATTGTATAACTAATATATTTGTTCAAAGTTACAATTTTTATGTTAGTTAAATGTATTCCATATTTTTGATTGTTAGTTAAATGGTTCATATTTCATACTTCTTATGTTTTTCAAAATAATAATCTTACAGAAAAAAAAATGTATAGTATAATATTGAAAAACAATTTTTTTTCTTGGTAGTTTCACTTTGTATTTGAAAGCAATATAATTTGTTAGGCGTATCAATTAACTTGTTAAATTGTTTTCATTTTCACTTAGTAACCAATGCCAAAAGAATGAGAATACGGTGAATGTTTAATTCCAAATGAATGTGCTTGAGACAAATCGACTTGAACCTGAAATAATAATATTACATTATTGTAAATCATTGTACATAAACATAAGTAAATCCAAATGTTTACTGTTTAGCGGAGATAACTTTTTTTAGACTTAAATGTCAGTAGAAAAAAGTTTTCCCATATATTATGAAACATTATGTAAGTAACTCTCAAGACCCATTCCGTTAACGCATATCTCTGATCGAAATAATTTACCAACCAGCTGAAGTTTTGTTACAGTAAATTAGATAAACATTAATTAATATTATTATATTAAAACAGAATTTTACATTTTACTTATCATAAAGGTAATATAATACTACAATAATGCTTTAATAAGTAAAATTAAATCATTCAAAATGATGTTAGCTTAGCAGATTGATTTACTGATTTTTTGTGTTTATGTAATATTTTTGTTTTATTTTTTTCATATGTGACCATGGACATAATAGTAGAACTTTTACTAGAATTGTATTTTACCGATTATTTGTAGAGTATACCCTCACTTAGTTCTGAGTATTATGCCATGAACACAACTAATTTGTAATTTTGTGACTACTGTATCTTTCATTACTAACCAATGTGAGATTTAATTTATTTTATAATTCGTGCTTTCTATTGTGTATAGTAAAAACTAAAAGTGTATTTTTTAAATAATCATAATCTAGTCAAATTGTGCATATACTAGACTTTCTAATTTTYCTAAAGTGCTCATACATTATACAAATTACTTTGAAGTGTTTATTCTATAATCACTGACCTATTCTTGTTCATATATTATTCCTTCATACTGTGAATGTCTTATACCAAAAGAATATGATGGTACAGATGATTTTAACATTGTCACCTAAAATGTTTCATWCATTAATTTAAGAATATTATGTTTCATATATTTATTCATGAACCTATGTGATTGTGTAATTAAAAATAGTCAAATACCTACTCTATGGCTGTTAATTTTTACTGACTTAAAAGCTTAAAGTCAATACTGACTTGTGGTAGAATGATATGAATATAGGTCCATTATATGAATTGCTCAAAATGAATCTAAATGTTTTGRAAATTTAACTGTGAACCTATTAAGTATCTAGTGTAGATACGTAGATACTGATATATGTAGTGACAAAGTTTAAATCCTGGATAATAGTTTTTAAAATAGGTATAACAAAAATAAAACTCCTTATTTGTWATTTAAACATAAGAATAACTTATGAGAACCTTGTATACAATTCCCAAGCTGCAGTAGATTTAAGATATTAATATTGAACATTTTATAATCTTTAACTACATAAAAAATAATTTTCTTACTTCAAACACTTATAGGAAAAAAGTTCCTACGGTACTTAAGTATGGCTTATTTTTGATACCTATTTATTCAATATGTTTATAATTTATGAGGAGCTTGTTTCAAATTGAAAACTTTTTGGCTGAGGATATTTTTATCAATTGTAGGTATTTTAATTAATATCACAAAAGCAGCCAAAATTTTTTGAAAGCTATACCCATAGATTCTAATATAAACATTTKTTAATAATTTCAAGTCTACTTCTCTTAGTAAATTAATTTTTAATTACAACAACAAACAAAATCTATTTTATAGAAAACTGGATTATTGTAAACATTAATTTCTTGCAACTATTTTAAAAAGTACCTACAGTGGGTTTTTTACTCTTAGCCAACTAGATCCCTCTTTTGAATAGAAACCTCCTCAAAATGAAAATTTTAAGCATTTTATTATTTTAATGTTCCAAAAGGTCACAATAGTCTCAAATAAAGAAATGAAAACACAAATTTGTAAATTAATCACGTAGGTAATTGCATATAAATGTCGGAATAGGAGCAATATTTACTCATTAACTACTGAGAAAAATGAATTGGGTTAGCTGGCCTACCAAAGTCCTTCCCACTTTCCCAGTATAAGTTTGTGTATGATGATGACTTGATTAGTCACGTACGTTAATAAGCATGCGATACTCATATAAACCTTTGTACCGARAGGACAGGGGCAGCTCCAGAGAATTGGTTGAGGAGAGAGCTAAGTCGACATTTTCAAAAATCATTCGATGCCAATAGTGTCTGTGTGTGTTTTTTTTTTTTATAATTTCGTTTTTTACAACATACGGTTTTTTAGAAACATGGGCTTGGGGGAGGAGCAGACCCTAGGCCCCTACATGGAACCACCTCACTAGGCTGGTGTTGTAATTCATAGCACTGGTGCTGCAGTGTCACGACTAACCTTTTCGGGAGAATACGCTCCCGGGCCGGGTCTGGGGGAATTGTCGCCGGGCATGTTGTACCGGGCGCTGACCGTGTACGCCGGCGATTTCGGTTTAATACTGTCGGCGCTTACGTCGTTGTAAGCGCCCGGGCCGGGGTTCAGCAGCCGTCCGTCCGGAAACTCCTTGGTGCGGCCGGATATGCTGAACGACGGGGCCGCCTTGAAGTGCCCCTCCTTGGCCGCGCCCATCACCGTCGGGATGTTGTACACGTTGGGCGCCGGGTTCGGGTTCGGCTTGTCCACTTGCGTTTTCAGTCCGAACGTGTACTGCGGCGAGTGTTCGTGGATCACCTTCTCGGCTTTTTCCGGGTTGTAGTCGCCGGGTGCCGGGAAGTTGTCGGGCCTCACTTCCTTGGGCCTCGAGTGTAGGGTAGACGCCGGCGGTGTGTCTTTGCCTGTGTATAACACGCKCCGTATAGTATATTGATTATATTACTGCAGTCTACAATAATTGTTATTTATTATATTGTTTTAAGGTGATCCGTGATTCAAGAAGTACCTAACAATCATCATTAGATAATGAGTTTGTTCGTAAATTTTTAACTTTTTTGAAAATGTTTTCATCAATTTTTGAGTCGATCATTGCAAAAAACATTTTTGAAAAAAAATACAATTTTTAAGTTTTACTATTTTAAATCACAAAATACATTTTAATTTCATATTCCAAACTAGATTATTTTGCAGTTTTGTACATATAATTTTTAACTAATATAGTTAAAATTACTTGTAACTTTAAACTTATTACTAGGTATATCTTATATACCTACACCTATTTCCTACATATTATAAACGTATATTAGATGATCGGAGAAGTGCTGTGACACAGAAATATTCCTCAAATTGCTGGTCCACCTCCACTACTCCGGTCATCAAAACATAAATACTTAAAGGTTATAATAGTTGTAACCA